CGTTTGTTTGAACAATCGCTTAAAATCTAGCGATGCGTATGTCAAAGAAAGTGAACACATATCAAGTTGTGATCGTCTACTGGATGAGCAAATCAGGTATTTGTGGGTTTTTCATCGATTTTGTCGTTTTTTTGGTACGCACAATCTCATTTCATAGCTAACGCTTTGACTCTGATTTCGTCTTTTTTTAACTTTTCGCCTTTTTTTTCTCGCTGAAAAAAAAGGGTAATGGAAATTTTGAAAAAAAAAAACAATATTTTTGTGTAGTAGAAACAATATTGGTGTGTAAAATCTCATTTTACAGGCACTGCTTTGATTCTGACCTGGTTTTTCTACTTTTCGTTTTTGTTTTACTTTTTTCTTCGATTAAAAAATAGGTTACAAAAGTTTGAAAAACACTTTTCTTGACAGTGGCTGCATAAATTTTGGATCTTTGTGGTTGCGATGTATGAAAGAAACTCTCCTTTGTTTAAATATACAAGGCATAGTAAAAGGGGAATATCTGAAGAAAATTTATTCCTTTTCTCCAAAATTCTCATTGAATTACCACAAATATATATAGCATTATATATAATTTATATAGTTTATGTAGTTCTATTATATATATATAGTTTATGTAGTTAAAAAAATATATATAGTTTATGTAGTTCTATTATATGCAGTATTATATAATTTCATTATTTAAATTATACGTATATATAATATTAATTTTATATATACATATATAGCAGATCATATGCCAAAAAAATTTTTTTGCGTGCTTTTATTTCATTACTCATATCATGATACTTTTTAGTGAAAAACTTTCAGCATCGCAATATCGGCGAAGGAACATGTTCACAGTCAACGAATGAGCTTACGGGATATTAGCAGGAAAATGAACACATTAACAAGTAATATTTCTGTGCTAGTTGTAAAATTTACGCCTTTTTTTGAAATAATTTCTTTCATTTTAACAATTCAAGTAGTTTCGCGACCCTAAAAGTTAATAAACTAGACTAGTGACGTGCCCTGTATCTGCGGAAAACACTTATGTATATATATATGTATATATATATGCATATATATTTATAATTACATGCGTTGACTAAAGTAATACAACGTGATTTAAGATAAGAAAAGACAGAACAAAAACGGTGGTGAGGTTCTGGAGAGCCGAAGTTCCTCAGAACAGGGATAAGTCGAAAGGAGTAGCTTTCTCGAGTAGCCCAGGAATGGCTCTGGTCCTGAAGATGAGGAGTATTTTTATACCCCAGGGGTCAGAAAATACGAAGATTGCAAAATTTTTAAGGAGGTAGGATGCCCAAAGGTTGAACCGGTGACCGGCGTATTGCATCATAGAATAAAATTGTTCCTTACGCCATTTCTGACAAAAAACCATAAATCATTATTTGATGTATTATGTGACAATAGTCTTCCAACTATATGGCTCTTTACGTCTCTCTATACGTAGAGTTTTGTTACGAACCTGTGGGAAATTGCGTATTGTTAACTGCTAATGCAAATATGGTGCGCGATTATTATGGAAGATCGCTAGTAGTAGGCGAGCCTGAAGGACCAGACACACAGCAATGGCATGAAGTGGACAAGGGGAGGGGGGGAGGAGGGGAAGGAGAGCGGGGGAGAGAGAGGATCTATTATCTGACATCCTTGCCACATGACCAGCCCATCTCCTCTTTCTGGCGTACATTGCTTCAGTAATATCGACTTATTGAAGCGCTCACTGATAGACACAAAAATTTGCTTTTACAGTATGTAATAGCGAGACTTATTTAGGGTTTTGGAGAAAATATGAACAAAAAGATGAAAGGGTTGTAAAGAATTGTTAAAGTAGATGAGAAATGTTTCGTTCCATTAAGTCGTATACATTTCTTACCGTTACCACAGTTAGACCTCGTCATTACGACGTCTGTGGTAACAATATAATTTAGTGAGGCGTAAAAATTGCATCCTCATGTGTGAA